GTATTTTACAATTACACTTTCACTAGTTATTGCTAACAATAAAGAAGGAATATGCTGCGCAATGTTGGGAGGGACTCAAGAAAAGTTGTGCAAACAAATTTTTAAACTTATAAATTTTTTTCAGTTTTCGTGAATGTATGAAAGCTACTAACTAAATGTCTTCTAATAAAAGTCCTGGCAAAAGTCGAGGTTTACAGTTCGTAAACTTATTAAGTACATGGTGCGTATGTATAAATAAAAATTTACGCAAATTAAAAGTTAAATTTTTTAAATACAAAAAAAAAATACTACAGACATTAATAATAAATGTACATAAATACATATGCGCGTAAAATAAGTGACTAAACTTAATGGAGGGTTGATAAAATAGAGTGTACTAGAAGTACATTATGAAAACAACAAGTTTATATGTCCACAAGTATGTAGAATTCCTATGTGTATATGTATGTAGTGCTCAACACTACTAATTATGCCCCACCAAACCTGCTCCACAGATACCCTGCACATATACATTTATTTTTAATTTATGCATTTGTGCATTTCTTGCGCGTCTTTGATGCTTTTGCATAAGCATATCTCATTTGCTATCATTTCGGTCTAATTTTTTCATACATATACTTTTGCAAGTGCTTATTATCGGGCACCGTCAATTTGCGCTTTTGATATTCAAATTGAGCCAAAGCAAATTCATACAAGTCATTTTCCATTTGCCAGATTTTCGATTTCTGTATAATGCTGATCGTATCAGCGTTCGGGGCAATCTTCCATGACGTTTGACGCAAATGTGATTTGTTGGAATGTTGATAGTGCTCGCGGAAACCGTGAAATATACTGTAAGAGCGCAAGTAACAATGGCATTTTATCGTATTGTGATTTTATGGTACTAGCTTTCTGTAAATGTACTTACCGTGGCAAAGAACGCTCAAGCAAATCGACAAAATTTTCCATTTGCTCAGTGACACCGACCAGAAAATATTCATTCACCAGATTATGCTTTGCTTGATTTAATGCCCATTCACTGCCGGGTTCCCTATAAAATGAATTAAGGCCGGTATTATCACTTGCGAAGCGAATGAATTTGGCGAAGCGAACGGTTTGGCGAAGCGAATGGATTGGCGAACGCAACTTAAATATGCATTAAGAGTGTTCGCATTTACCAGCTTGTGCAAGTTCTTTGCATCGCAAACACTTTCAATACCTTCTCTGCCTTTTAATTCGCTTCGCCAAACCGTTCGCTTCGCCAAAATCATTCGCTTGGCAAGTGATAATACCACCCTAAGAATTTTTATGAAGTACGAATCCCATTTGTTTGCAAAAACAGGGCTAGAATCGTAACAGTCGTGATCGAGCAACTCGTCACGTAAAAATGCATATTTCGGATTATAACAGTCGTGAACGTACTCTCGTAATTCGGTATACGAGGCGAGCAGTACTTTCACGACTGTTATAATCCAAATATGTATTTTTACGTGACTAATTGCTCCTTCACTTCTGTTACGATGCGAGCCCAGGTTGCTTACCAGCACTCGGCTGCATGTCCGCAAAAGAATGGTATTTGCAGCCACATGTTCTTTGGATCACAGTCTGGTTGTTTCGACAATACGCACTCATCGAAAGTCTAGCAAGGAAAATGTCATTAGAATAAACAAAATTATATAATTGCATATAGAAAAGAGAACTTACAATTTTATTACCCGCCTTTTTACGTACTAAATTCGGACGATAATTATCACCATAGCGTAGAAAATAATAGTATGAAACTAGCCTATCCAATGGCTTACGAACTATATTTATATAAATAGGTTTGTGCGCAATTTGAAATCTATAAAACAAACAAACGCAATATAATCAAAAAATTTATATTTGTATGCACCGCATTAGCTACTTGGAAAAGTCCAAAAATGCCATATGACCATGATAGAGAGCTGGAATAAAAAGTGATAAATTGTAAATAATAGCACAGAACTTAGTTACTTTACAAGCACACTTACCAGGCTTCATTTCATGCCACTTAGTGACATTACGCACAAAAGTAATCTTCGAAAAAACCAATCAAATAATGTTGTTAAAAGTAAGACTGTTTGTCAACACTACTCACCTGATTGGGCAGCGATAATACATGCATATTTGCTGTCACATTTATATGCAAGACATGAAATTTATTACGCTTGCACAAATCATAAGCGATGTTGACAAAACTTGTGGAGCCCGTTTTGGGCACCCGATTGTATAGCACTACTAATTCTTCTTCATAGTCGAAGTTATCCAATGATAAAGTGCCTGGGTGAACATGGTTTGAACCACTATTAACTGCCGTTGCTATTTTGCCCAAAGGTTTGATAGCTACAAAAAAACTCAAAATATACTTTTTTCACATCTGCATAATACATATTTACCATATTTACACTCACCATTGTTCCATGTCTCCTCTATGCGCACCTCAGATGACCAAATGAACCAGTAAGTGCCCAACGCTAGCAAACAAAGTGCACTGAATGCAAACCAATGCAAAGGCTTCCAGCCTATCAGCATTTTCTTGAGTTTTTTATGCCAACACAATAGCCACTTCATTATTAGCAACAACAACAACAAACGCTTTTCACTACTTTAAAGCATGTGCTGCCGTGTATTGCCCTCATTTTTGATTGCATCCGCGTGTCTGTGCCAAAGTTGAACACATTTAAAATTTCTTAAATTACTTAGTCCTTGCTAAATTTAAACAATTTGTGAAATGAAAGCAGCTGGTATGCTTTGAAATTCACAAACACCCTTTACTCCTAGAATACAAAAGGTCAGCTGTTTTTGATTAAAAAAATGACAGAATGAAATCCACAGAGCTGCCAGATGGCGGTTTTCGGAAAGATTTTAGATGAATACTCGGCTGAAAAGGGTATCTAAACGATGTGTTGTCCAATCTGTGTTGCCGATCGTTCGAATGTTCCAACTTTTTGCAATATTGAAAAAAAACTACAAACTTTCGTAAAAATGTTTAAATTTTTTAATTAGATTTCCTAAAAAGTCTGATTACGCAGTTTTGCAGCCCATTGAGCTCTGAAATAAAGTACAAGCTCTAGAATAAAGTACAAGTTTCAGATGGCTGAAAATTGCGGTTAATTTTTTTTTTCAAGTATAAATAAATTGTGTTTATTTGTTATATGGAACCAATTGGAAGCTGGGGATTTGACTTTACCAGATTTTACCTGTGAAAATTCTTCGCGTATGATCTTGCAACTTTTGTCATAGTCAGGACCTTTGTGCCTTCCCATTTTCCCAAACTTTACCAAAGATGAGTACGGGAACTCTCTGGTAAATTCTTTCAGCTTCTAGCGAGTTAGGGAACGCAACTGTACTTGTCAAAAAATATCGAAGTCTCGATGCTATTCGGTACTCATGAAAAGTATCGATATTCTGTACTCGGTACTCGTATCGTTCTTTTACAATTTACGGCGTTTGTGGCCTTTCGCATGAAAACAAAAAAGTGTAAACAAATAAATGGAAATTGAATTAAACATTCGAAATCTACGTAATTTGTGTCGTATATGTTTGGGTGTACCTGATTACAACTTGTGGGAGCAGAAAGTTTGTTGGGCCAATGAGGCTACAACAAATGATGGAGATACGAGCGACCAAAATGCCGAGGATATAACCGTACGTGAGGTGCTGCAAATGTACAATGATTGGCAGGTAAATTTGAGTAAAACCTTTATAGATAATCTCTCTACATGTGTTTTGACACTAGCATTCAATATTGGAAATGGATGACGAACTGCAACTGATATGTAAACAATGTCTGAATGAGCTACAACCTCATTATCGCTACTATAGGCGCTTGCTTGCCGCAAATAGGCAAATGAAGCAACTGTATGAGGAAGCACTGGAGAAGGAAGTTGTAACAAACCAAGTGATTATTGAAAATATAGCGCTTGAAGACAATTTACCAGAGTTTATGGATGTTGCAACAGAGTATCCCACACAACAAGACTCCAGTACACAGCATGAAATGTATACAATCTCCTCATTACCACTAAAACAAGCACAAAAGCGTAAATTCGTAAAAAATCCCAAATTTATACTCACGGGTGGAGTAACACAGCTACTTGCGCATGCTACGGGCGCGACCAGCTTTGCGTCATCAGTGGCATCAAATGATCCGCCACGACAAGCAAATCCCTTTTGTAGTCCACAAAAGCGAAAACGTTTAGATTTGGATGTAGTATTACCAGCGCCAGATAAGAAAGTAAACAGTGATTCACTCAGCGAGCGTCAGCCCTACCCGAAAAATCAGGTAATGGTTGCAAACCATGAAATCAGCGAAAATCATGAAAATCGTGCCATAGTGACGTCGGTAGAAGTTGTCCAAGAATCACCCAAAACTGAAATATCAACATACGAGTATTCGCCCAACGAGCAAGTCCAAGAATTTGTTACGAGCCACAATGATGATAATCCACTTAAAATTGAGAATGATGAGCAGGCTGTGCTTCCTTTTTCAACTGTAAGCGCTGATCACGCAGGTCGCTCCATATATGTATGCAAATACTGCCCTCAAGCGTTTACAGCACCTTGCTTTCTGCTTACTCATGCGCGCAAGTCGCATGTCTGTAAATACTGCAGCAAAGGGTTTATAAAAACACCTGATCTATTTGCACATGTCAAACAAGCGCATCAGGAACACAAGTGTGGTATATGCGATAAGGAGTTTAGTACCAATGGTAATTTGCGTGCACACATAAGGCGTGTACATCGATCGAAAACACCTGAATCAACACCCCGACTAATTTCGAAGTACGCTGCAAGTGAATGCGTAGGTATCATGAAAGAAGATTTTGTAGATGGTGCAGCGGAAACCATTTACATTGAAGAAACTTCACAACCGATGAAGGCAGAATATCTGGACTAAGAAAATTTTTAGTGTGATGTACAAAAATGTATACGTGACCTGTATTTTACACACTTCTCCAAATTGATTCGTGAAATAATATTAAAAAAAAAAATTAAAATTTTGGCTGCTAATTACTAGTTTATTATAGACGCAGTATCAGATCCTAATACATATATAAGCCAAAGCTTATGCTTGCGAAATTTTTAATCAATCTACATTTATATCTGTCCAGAAGTTTTGAGCGTTTTTTGTTACTTCAAAGCCCTTTATTTTATCTTCTCCCTCAATGTACATCGGCGTAAACTCTCTATATGCAATACATACACGACGTTCTTTGATGTCTTCGCGCAAAACCGAATGCTCAAATTGGTAACGCGGGGGACCATACATCACAATCAAGGATAAACTGAAAAGAAGAAAATGATCAACAATTTTAAATTAAGGAAAGCTAACCGCCAATACATTACTTAGGCATAGGTACACGTATAACTTTTTTATCGAAATGTTGAAATTCTTCTTTATTATACAAAGGTAGTATTAATTGTTTTTCATAATTCTTCACCAGATTTAAGTTATATTTTGTCGGCTTTGCACTTGCATCGAAAGCGGTCAATGTGAGTACAGCATCACCAAGGCAATTAAGTGTCACCACACGCTCCCCCCAAACCCAGCAATCATCTACATGTGGATCAATAGATGCACCCTTTGAGGACTCATATTCCAATGAGCATTGTTCAATAGTCTGAAAGTCGCTCAGCAATGACACTTGCCGTAAACGTTCTTGCACGAAACGTGTACCTTCTGGAAAACCATTGAAATTGCCATTTCTTAACTTTCGTTGTCGAAAATTTGTCTTTGGGCCGAAATTTTGTTTACGACGACCACTCTGAGACGTTGTCCAAGGTAGCGCATCCAAGCTTTCCATCAACAATTCACCTTCGCTTGCACTAATGAACTGCTCTTGAACATACAATCCCGGGAAGGGCAAACCTTCCTCCCCGTTGTGTTCCGGGTGTTTTGCACGCACTTCAAATGGATTCCAGGCTTCAAATAGTCGCTCACATGCCGGACAAAATGAATACGCGTGGAGCTCTTGCAATTGAGTATGAAGCGATGCTTTTTCAATATTGAAGTCTTCTTCACATTTTAAACATGTGCGGACACCTTTGCAGCCACACGGACGTGTAGTATTCATTTGATGATTTTACCTGTAATTAAATTTTATGGAAATAGCGCAAGCGAACAAATGGTGGCTATTCAAAACACGAACAGCTGGTCGCGTATACTGCCGTTTGGTTTTAATTTTTTAACACTACTAAAAACCAGCACGATGTGAAAGGCCCTAATACTTTCCAGAGTTTTGCCACTTTATAAATTTGAGTCGTACCAGTCACGTAGATAATACCATGTTCGGACGAAGACGAGTTTTGGGATTGTGGGCTGAAGCTGAAATTAGTCAAGAACGTAAACCTACCGGTACGTAAACCCGAGTCAGCTGACACGATCTGTCTTACCAAAGCGCCATGTAAATGAAAACCCAACACCGCAGAATTTTTCTATAGTTGTAGCCCGTAGCGCAAAAATCTGCGGAATTTAGATTTTTCCGTGTCAGCTGATTTCTCCTTCTTTAGATGGTTGCCACTTCGTCAGTTTTACAGATGGTAAAAAAGATATAAGTTCCTATTCAAATTATGTTTAAAATATTTGGCGCGTATTCATAGTATAGCAACTAAGTCGAAACTAACAAAGTTGCAACTTAAATTTAAGAACCAGCTTAAATTTTACCTCTATTCATAGTCGCATTTCAGACTTCTACTAAGTAGTTTCGACTTAGTTTACGATACAGCAAAACGAGTGAAAATGTATCGATTTTTCTTTACGATATTTTGGAAAAATTACATTTTTATTAAATAATGTCAAGTTTGATCATCCGTTTATGTAATTTTTATTTTCATTGCATGATTATGCAAAAGAATAAGGTATCATTTTCTTGTTAATTGTGTGAAATAGCCAGAACAACCGCAGTGATGTGAAGCCGATGTTTATCGAAAGCATGCTGTGAAACATACAAACAGTAGATATCTAAATGTTATGCACAAATTTACCTTAAAAGAACTAGCGTGAAACTGACTTATTATTTGAGAATTTATCTAAATTATTCCAATTATAAAATTGTGATGAAGCTTTATTCGAATTGTAATACGCATTTAATTTCATCTTCCGATTAAAATGGATCGATCTTTGTAAATTTTAATGGGAGATTATTTAATATTATCAAAATCACCCTCTACCAACTTAATTTTTACATATTTCGTCTGTTTTCCCTTAATTTGATAAAATACTTCTTCCTAGTTACGACTTAGTTGCAGCTGCAGCCGAAACTAAATTTTAAGTTGGTACTTATACCATGTTCTGACCGACATCGAAAACATGTTTTCGTTGCTAAAACTAGTTTTCGACCTAAAACATGTATTTTCGTCCATGTAAAATCTGTCAAACGAAAACCAGTTTTCGCTGAAAACTACTTGAAAACTCACGTTCCACTCATTCCAATCGGTGTCTTCACTAGTTTTTTTCGATTATTTATCGAAGTGGAAGTCATATTTTATCATCTTTAATACGCTATTTCGTATTTATTGTTAATTGGCTGGCCAAAGTAAAATAAGAATGAAAGTAAGAGGTTGCTAATGAAAAGAAAATGTGGGAAAAGCATTTTGGTTTTGTTTTTGTGAACGTAAGTTTTCCAGTAGTTTTCAGCGAAAACTGGTTTTCGTTTGACAGATTTTACATGGACGAAAACACATGTTTTAGGTCGAAAACCAGTTTTAGCAACGAAAACATGTTTTCGATGTCGGTCAGAAAATGGTATAAGACTTACTAGCCCAGAGTAATTGTGTTCCTTATCAACGAGAAATAGTCCGACGTAGTCAAATTTTGTCCAAACATTTTCTGTTGCAAGTCTCTAGTCTCGAGAATCCCAAATGACAAGAATTTGTAACTGATATAGAATAGAGCCGTTAATATAAAATTAATAGCTAATGGGCCGTATGAATAAAAACAAAGCAATTGCTTTTTCTTAAAATTTCATACCTTTCACTTCAATTTTGCTTGAATAAATCGAGTAGCGTAAGAAATTTTAAGAAAAAGCAATTGCTTATTTTTTTATACATACGGCCGTTCGTCCGTTTTTATGGCTGTTTGAGTCTTTAATTATTGGCTTTGTTATTTAAAGCGAGCACACTGACACGAGTTTATTCCATATCGCGTTTGATGCCATATAAACTAGAAACTCTCCGAAGTTACACGGTTTGGTCAGAAGAGTTTTTGCTGGCAAAATCTTGAAAAGTGTCAACTGAATTTAAATTAATGGAAATTAAAGAATAAACGAAAATAATCTAAAAACTAAAAAAAAAAATTAATTGAAAATGGAAGGAGGCATTCTGATTTTGACTCGTTATTACCGCCATCGACTTCCGCCATTTACTGATACTAACTAGACAATCTTTTCTGAAATCCGTTCCAGGTATTTATAAACTTGACTCTTCCATCATTTTTTGAACAAAATCTGTCGATAATTTCGCATTGTATGAGCCCAGTCTCAAAATACGTAAAAAAAATTTGACTTTTTCTGACAATACTTATGTATATTTATAACATTTCGAGACTATTACAAATATGGAAAAAATTACAACTAAAGTTCTCTATACAGTTCTATGCGAGCGTGAACGTGCATGTATGCAACCGACTCTATAGTGAACAAGGGGAATTCACAAAGACAAAAATTCTATTTGCATTCTTTTGCGTGCTCGCACATCTGATTGCTCACATATGAATGCTTTTTGAGTGCGAGCTCGGAAAATAGGCATATAATAAACTTTAAATAAGTTTTTTTTTTATACTTCTGAAAGATAGTTTCGTTTTCTTTCTTTACATAATCAGCCCAATTCTGAATACTCCCAGGGAGTTTGTTCTCCGGGAATTTGTTTCTCCCGAGAAAGGAATACTCCAACAATTACTCTCAGGGAGAAGCATTTCCCCGAAAACTCCCAGGGAGTTTCTGTTCAGAGTCGGTCTGAATAACTATTGCAAAGAGTGAAGTAATAACAAAGATATCGGTCAAAATAAAAAGTTCACGTTCACGCTCGCATTCAACTGTACAGAGAAGTTAAAGCTTACAATACAAATTAACTTGCAAGTTTATTTGCTGCATTTAAAATAATTGTTGTAGTATGAAATCGCAATTCTTGGATTGCCAGTGACAATGCTAAAAACCGACACACGTTTCTTCGGATCAACATTTAGCATTTTTTCGCAAAGACAACCCCACTCTATTCCATAACAATGACTTATCGAACCAAAGTTAAGACCATTTTGAGCACTGCTTAGGACTAAACCCTTTAAATCAATTAAGTTCTTAGCGTTTTGAAAAGGACTAACACCATTACACATTTCATACAAAACACATCCCAATGACCAAACATCTGATTTAAAGTCATGTTTTTCTCCCCTCATTACTTCTGGCGCCATATAATAATATGTGCCAATAAGACCTTTTGTTGGATTATGTGAGCTGTGGACGGTCGAAATACCAAAATCAGCTATCTTAATCCTATTTTCCTTGTCCAAGAGTATATTTTCAGGCTTGAGGTCTCTATGAATTATATGTCGAATATGTAAATACTCAAGTCCCAAAAGAATATCAAATATAATAGAATAGAACATATTTTTCTTAATAGGAGGGAAGTGCTTAATGTTTCCGTTTATTGCATCTCGCACTGTACCATTTGTTGCATACTCCATAACAATGTTAACGCTGCTTCTGTATACGAATGCTCTGAAGAATTTAATAATGTTCGGATGTCTTAATTGAGAAATAATATAAATCTGTAAGTAAAAAGCTTTGAGCTTACGATGCACGATTTGTGAAATTTAAATGTATTTGCATTGTTCAACTTTCACAGACGTTTGGTTTTATCAAAAGTTGGTTGAAAGCGATTTGTTTGCACCTTTCAAACAAAATTTTTACGAAAAGTTGAACAATGCAAAGGCGCTTTATACACACCTCATCCATCAACATTTTCATCTCTTGGTTGGGCTGGCGAATTCGTATACGCTTTACACAAACATACTGTGCACCATAGTCCAATTTACACTTACAAAGAAATACATGCCCAAAACTTCCTTCACCCAGTATACACAGAGGTCGTAAATTCGGATCTCCTATGTCCATAATAGCTATTATTCCAGCGTTGAAAAATCAATTAGGGTTGGAAAAGACGACTGTGACTTTAGTCAAAAATCGACTTTTCGTTGAAAAAACTCGACTTTTTGGAATCGACTGCAGTCACCTCAGTTTGATTAAAATCGACTCTTACTCGATGACTTCGACTTTCGTTTACTAATGCCATGTTCTGACCGACAACGAAAACACCTTGAAAACGAGTTTTGGGATTGTGGGCTGAAGGCCGTTCACACCAACTGTTGGTGTTTTCGTTGACATTTCTTTCGTCCTTTGTTTACAGTTTTGCTACACAAAAACAAAACCAAAATACTTTTCCTTCAATTTCTTTTAATTACAACGTTTTACTTCCATGCTTACTTTATTTTGGCCAGCCAATTAACAATAAATCCGAAATGACGTATTAAAGATGATAAAATATAACTTCCACTTCGATAAACTAGTTTTCGTTTGACAGTTTTTACGTGGACGAAAACAAAAGTTTTAGGTCGAAAACCAGTTTTACCAACGAAAACAGGAAACAGCTCAATTTTTGCTTTTATATTAAAATAATAATGATGTTGCAGCCACGAGGTTTTCGTGCAAATGAAAATGTAGCTGCCAAACTACCAAATTGCCGGCAATAGATGGCAAGATATAAGCTCTGATATATATTGCTCTTGAAGAGCAATGAGCGGTCTCCATTGGCTATTTATATTCTAACATATGTATCAAGGTATAAACTTTATCCTGTGGAGACGGGCAGTTACACACGGCGATTTTTGTTACGGCAACTCGAAGTTGAAGAGAGCGCGACGAGGAAAGAAGAGGGGCACCGAGTTGCCCGTGCTCGGGCAACACGCTTTGTGCTCCCGTTCGTCTGTGTAAATTCAGTTAGCGGTTCGCAGCTGACAACAAAAATTTCATATAAAAAGGTCGCCGTGTGTAAATGAAACGAGCAACACCTAAAGGGAATATTCCGGGGCCATTTCAAATGAATATTTAAATGGAACTTAAGTTTAATCAAAGAACGTAAATCTATAAGAAGAGACAACACGTTATAATTGTAACGAGTGGGAACATCAGGAGCGTGCTTTCTCTTTTGCCCAAATACGTCATGTTCACACTCGCTACAATTATAACGTGTTTTCTCCTCTTATCGACTAACGTTTTTTGGTTTAATTTTTGATTGTTATTTAAATGCCATTTAACTTTCGTTGGGTTTCAGATCAACTTTAT